GCGTTTCCCAGGACATGCCACAGGCTGCCTCATCTTGTAGTGCCAGCAAGGACGGCTGAGTATGGTGCGAAGAGCCAGGCAGACTCTGCTCCTTCTCAGCTCAGAGCCCAAGGACGCTGCAGTTCAGGAGCTGAACACAGGAGAGGATAAGCAGGAAGGCGTCCCTGAATCCAGTCACCCTTCCTCAGCTGTCCCAGAGCTACGCTTCACTCCATAGTCAGGGCCCCAACATACCCCAACCACCAAACTCAAATCCACATCTCCCTGCTTCTTCCTCCTAAGTTCTCTATAAGGGTACACTATTAGCAGGCGCTAGTAATTCTCCTCTTCCTGTCCTCCCCAAGATTTAGTTTCTACCCAGAAGTTTACAGAACAGTCATTTCTGATTTTCACTAAATCAGTAGCTGAATAAGACAGTCCTGACAACAGTTCTAGAGCTGACAGAAGAGGCTGTGGGTGTTTAATTTGTAGGAGTTTTTTTTTTTTTAGAGACAGAGTCTCACTTTGTCACCCTCGGTAGAGTGCCATGGCGTCACAGTTCACAGCAACCTCTAGTTCTTGGGCTTAGGTGATTCTCTTGCCTCAGCCTCCTGAGTAGCTGGGACTACAGGCTCCCACCACAACGCCCAGCTTTTTTTGTTGTTGCAGTTTGGCCAGGGCCAGGTTCGGACCCGCCACCCTTGGGATATGGGGCTGGCGCCCTACTCACTGAGCCACAGGCGCTGCCCAAGTGGGAGGTATTTTTTGAAAGGAGCTGAAAATACAAAGGAGTTTGAGCCCCCCACCCCCCACTGTTATAAAGAGCCAGTGTTTCTTTTTCTTAAACAGCTTATGAAGGGAAAAAGGAATAAGACAGAGATAGGCTATCTGAGTAAATATAGACAAAATAATTGGAACTTCACAAACCGGTAAGCTTATACTCTAAAGCAGTGGTTCTCAACTTTCCTAATGCTGGGACCTGTTTTCATTGTTACAAAGGGGTCGCAACCCACAGGTTGAGAACCGATGCTCTAGAGTATGGCAACAATGAAATTAAAGCTAGAATTGAGGTTGCATACAAGCCAACCAGCTCTGTGCTACTTAGTCAGCAGCCCCTCTTCCCCTCCACTCTCTGCTGTCCTGGGGGCGGGGGGACAGGATTTCCCACAGAAAGGGCTGCCTGCTGCTATACTCCTGCCCCAGGATGGGAAGCTCTTACATGCAAACAAAGATGGAGAGAGAAGGGGGAGCTCTTGCCCCACTAGCATCTGTGTCAGTGCTGTGTTTCCAGCTATGCAAACACCTCCCTGAAACTACCGTACACCCCACCCCCACCCCAGCCGCAGCTCCCCCCTGGCTTCAGACATACTTTCCCACCCTTGAGCCATCAGGACTGGGGACACAACCCAATGTCACCAGGCCCTAGATACCTTAATAATCCTTGTGGGTTCCCTGACTGCCCTTCTTTACTCACTTGGTTAAACTATGCTCAGAGCCTCATCTGCTCCTGCCAGGACCTCACACGGGCTCCCCTCCCCCTCAGAGCCTCGTCTGTTCCTGCCAGGACCTCACAGGGCTCCCCTCTCCCATCTCAGACCACAGTTTCTCTGCCTCAGTGCCCCACAGTGTCAAGGAAGCCCATCAACTTCACAGATGAACTATCTGCTTCTGCCTCAGCTCTCTCACGGATCACCCCCAACTCTGCCTAAAATATCCCTCTAATGTCTCCTTTCATTCACTTAAAATATAGTTTATAATCAACATTTACAGAAAGCTTTCTCAAATTGGACTTATTTGAACCACCACATACTAATCTGAAAGAAATTACGCCAACTTGTCCCCTTTATAAGCAGTAGGACACCAATATTATGTGTATAATAAATACTAACAGGCTTTTACTTGGCTTCAGTGAAATTCATTCTTCCTCTCCAGGATATTGGTCAATCATCAGTAACTCAAAGAACCTATCATCTGGAAATGAATCCCTTTGCAATCACTGATGTGGGTATTAAAGACCTCCCAACCTTTCTAAGATACAGCATGGTCCAGGAACAGCCAAATTAATTATAATCAGGTGCACAAGACAATAACACACATGGAGTAATCAAAGCACTTCTAAATCCTAAGCAGAAAAAAAATAAATAAATAAAACCACACACAAATACTCCCTGCTTTCTCTTCCTTGAACCCATCAGAAGATGGCTTGTGATTGGCTTCCTGAAAGAGTGCGCTAGAACTACAAAGTAATCTCCTCGGTCTGTTGCTTATTTGCCTCACCATAAAATGGAAAAGTAAATAAAATAACACTCTATGAATGTTTGTTGTTTGATGTAAGGCTAAGAACTAACTGGCTCTCCGCTACTTTAAACAAAGTTGCAATCACTCATTATGCAACAAGTTCGCTAAATGATTTCAAATGTTTGGCTTGCAAAGAAGAGCTCAAAACAGATGTAATATTAAAGTCCCTAATTATGAATGATAATTCCTTGATAAGATCCCCTTCAACAATGCCAATAATTAATTTACTAATATCAATTCCAGATATGAATTCAAATTTTGGCAAAAACTTAAATAATGTGATGTCAGTAAATCTTCCTGTTAAAAATATGTTTCTGTTTACCAGGAAAAAAAAAGGGACTTGTACATTTTATAAACTATTAGATGCTTCTGGCTGCAAATAACAGAAGACCTAACTATACGTGTCCTAAGTAATTTGAACATATATTACCTCTCTGAATAAGAAATCTGGAGATAAATGACTCCAGGGTTGCATCAGTAACTAAAACAATATAAGGAGACAATTAGTATATTTGGGATTCTCACAGATACAAATGGCCACAGGAACTTAAAACACCGTAATCTCACATGCCAGCATCAAAAGCAAGAAAGATGATTTTTTTGGTCATAGCCAGTTTCTTGTCATGAAGGAAAATCTTCCCTGGAAACCCCTCTTCTTACATCTCAATGGGCAGAAATGGCTTACAGGCTGACCCTGAAACCGCACACTGACAAAAAAGAACAGGGTGCCATTATTCTATCAATCATTACCCACTCCTGTACAGCTGGGCCCAAAACGTGCTAGGAAGAGAATGAGCTGACATGTAGACAAGCGCCAAGGGCAGCACGCTGAAAATCTCCTGCAGGAATAGTTTATACCAAATATTAGCTTCAAATGCAGAGGAGTGGAGTCCATTCCAGACAGAGGGGCAGGGGAAATAAACTCAAATATCACAAAGGGGCTGAGAAGGAAATGTGATGGAACAAGGTAGGCTACGTGGGACCACCCGTGCTGAAGAATGCCTCCAGTTCTCAACCCATTTAACTGCTTACTTCAAATGTCAGCAAACTACAGTAAAACTGAGGAATAAACAGATAATCTTTCTTTAACCTTCACGCAAATATAGACAGACCAGCTTTGGCTCACACAACAGAAATACTGACACCTTAATCTGGTTGCTATGCACCAGATACTGTTTAAAGAGCCTTGTGGCCCTTATCTCATTTCATTTATTAAAATAAAAGCCTAGGCAGCTGGTACCACCAAAGTCCTCATCAACCATCCATGAGACTTAGAGAGAAAAGTAGTTTCCCCACAAACACATAACTGTGGGGTGGTGAGGCAGGGGAACATTCTGCACGCAGCACTCTGAATGATTAACTGGGCGATGGAGTTTACGGAAGCCAAACACAACTGATGAAATGGCTGCTCTTTCCAGATGTGCAGTAGACACTCAGAAATGGAGGCCATGGGTTCATAAATACAGCTTGGAGGCCACTTACCTCCCCAAACACCATCACAACCAACTGATTTCTACATATATAAAAGAAGGCCAGGCGTGGTGGCTCTTGCCTGTAATCCTAGCACTCTGGGAGGCTGAGGTTGGCGGATTGCTCGAGCTCAGGTCAAGATCAGCCTAAGCAAGAGCAAGATCCTGTTGCTACTAAAAATAGAAAAGCCAGCCAGGTGTCTTGGTAGGGAGACTATAGCAAGAGGTTCCAGCCCAAGAGTTTAAGGTTCCTGTGAGCTACGACAACACTATGATACTCTACCCAGGATGACAGAGTAAGGCTCTGTCTCAAAATAAAGAAAGAAAATATGAAAGAGAACAGCACCATCACCTAGGGCTTAACCATCTCTGCCGTGGGCAGGAATTAATTGGGAGCATGATTGCAAAATACTGTAAATTCTTCAGATCTTGAAAAAATAGCCTTAAAAAAAGCCTTCCATAATCTATAGTCAGTGCTATTCCCAGACATAGGACCCTGAATTTGCAAGTGTGAGGAAAGAACACGAGTGCACCAGTAAAAGCACATCGTCTCCCCAGCTCTGTGTACAGGGCCTAACAGCAGGCAGCCTGACTAAGAGTCCTGTCCTGGGGTGCTTTACTAGATATAATACAGACATGTGAAGGTCAGCATCTATAGCCTCTCTATTCTCACCACTCCATTATATCCAAATCCTGAAATGATTTGCAATCATTAATTTACTCTCAAGCAACTTTTTCTATCACTGTTTAACGTGTCTCTCTTCTACACCAAGCTCCTGTTGTATTTATTTACAGAGCCCTCAGCACTTGGCACAGCGGCACATAAAGACAGACAACAAACATTTTTAAAATGGAGTGAACATGATAAAAGTTCCATTGTTCCATTACTTGCTGCTGTGAGACAGCCCACTCATATGAGATACTCTGAGATGGAAAGCATATTGATGAGTGAACCATTCAAGTGAACTGTTCTATAGTTCTATTCAGCTTTAACATGTGAATTTTCTAACAAACAAACAAAAGATCAATTTTTTATTAGCATCTAACTTCCATAGAGTACACAAAATAATGTTGGATCAAATCATCCTACCATAACAAAGCTGCACAGCGTGTCCTGACTCACCACCTTTCCTCACATAGCTACATTTCCCTTTACTCATCATCCTGTTTTACGTTCTTGTAAGCACCGGAAATAAATCCTCCAGAACTTCCTCCCCAAGCAGTCCCACTTCGGATCATCAGGTCATGTCTTACCAGCATTCATGTCTTTAAACTTCTGCTTTAGCTCAGTAGGAGTGAGACGGTACTGATCGAGACCATCGTTCCAATAAATTCGGTCCAGGACCTGAAGATCTCCACCAATCAGCCAATCTCCTTGTTCCAGAACCATCTAATTGGAAAAAAAAAAAATTTTTTTTAAACAGAAATCAGTAGGTAAAGACATTTCTCTCATCCAAACAAACTAACCGTTGTTGAAAACTACTCTTACCTAAAGTCAACATTAAATACACTTCACATATTAACTAAATTCGGATTAGAGATGCTACAGAATAAGAATACACTTTGTAACTTTTCAAAAAACTTGTGAAGCAACTGTGTTTACATAGGCAAGGAAAACAAAATCAATGATTATGACTTTGTAAGAAACAAAAACGTCCCTTTCATTGTCCTGGCATGTTGATTAACAGGATATTGTCCTGGCATGTTGATTAACAGGACAATCTGTAACCCTGGATAACCCCACCCTCTGTGTTCTCACTCCTAAACTTTCAGAGAATTAATGATCATTGAGTTAGGCAGAAATTCATGCCTTCAGATTATCACAGCACCTCAAATTTCTTACAACCTCATGTATTTTCTTTCCCTGCATCTGAAAGGAGGAGATACTACTTCGTAGGCCAGCGGTTCTCAACCTGTGGGTTGCGACCCCTTTGGACCGTAAAAGGTTCATGGCATTAGAAAGGTAGAGAACCAGGAGAATCTAGGCCCTGTCCTTTTTCACGCTACAGCTCAAGCCTCCCCCACTTCCCACACTGCTTTGTCTCGTGTGCCAGTAAGTCATCCAGTTTCTTTTAATGTTCAAAGTCTACTTAACTTCAATAAGATTCCACATACAATACATAAAATAAATGAGGTACTTCAGGGAGACAAATTATTAACACATTTCACTGCTTTTATACCGTAAATATAATGTTAAATTAAAAGCCAGGATCAGATCAAACTGCCCCAGCACAGGCTATTTTCACACCTGACTTTGCTTTTTCCTTTAAGGAGGTTAAGTATGGTTAAGTACGCCACCGGATTGTAAACTCCAAGAGCGTAAGCACTGTGCCAGTCCTGTTCCTAACCCTGCACCAGCCCCTATCTCAGGGCCTGATAACACGGTAGAGAGTAGATATTTAAAATTATCTGCTGAGAAAATATTTATCTGGACCAAAATAACAAGATCATATGCTTATCACACCAAAACCCAGTTTCGGCTCTGCAAAACATTAACAGTGAAATGGAACAGTCAATACACAGATAAAGCCCGCAGCACAAATGCTCCTGGCAACTCAAGACAGCACGCAGCAAGGCTGCTACAGGACCTTGATGTAGGGGTGGTTCTTGCATGTTGTCCCCCACTGTCTGGCACAGCGCTCCTCTTTCCTGTGTTCAAAGAATTCTGGATTGCGAAGAATAGCCACGCGGCGGCCCTCATAGACCAGAGCGAAGGCCGTGCAGCCGTCCAGCCTCTCTTTCTCTTCGTGAGTAGCTGTCAGAACTATGGGCACTGACAGGTTAATGACGCCTCCTGCAGCACAAAAGGGAACACAGGGCAGAGGCCTGCGTTACTCAACGGGCCTTACATACTCCCCCTTTCACAGGGGGCGCTCTTCACAGGTCTGTAACAATGTGTAGCTGGCACCTGGCACAGAAAGTCAAGAGCCTGAGCAAACCACAAGCTCACAGAGAATAAGCAACGACATTACAAATTTGTTTCAAGACAGCAAAAATTTAGAGAATCGACACTGTGGATAATGATAGTTCTCATAACATTTATGAAACTGTAGGTGGACATTCTGGTATAAAATTACAAAAATAAAAAAAAAGTTTAATATAAAAAACAGCCAATTAAGCTAAATATCACCAAAAATGTACTGTGCACTTCTGATATATGAATAAGACAAAGAACATTTTCTGGAAAAACTTAAAACCTTGTTGATACAGGATGACATAAATAACTACATTATAAGTGTCAAGTTGATTAAGTACACTTGAGTATACATGGTATCTATGGGTATCCTTGAGATAGGAAAACCAAAAAAAAAAATCCAAAAAGGTTTTTTGTTTATTGGTTTTTCAGTGATATGTGTACTAAAGGCAGCGTCTCAGTTCCTGACCTTTCCAAGCTACAAAAGCTTTTTTTTTTCCCTACTTATCACCTACAGGTTAGAAAAATAAAATGCAATCCCAAAGTCATACTTGAATTTATTTACATACTGATACCCGGCATTTTGGGGAATGGTGCTGTGGCTTCTTTAGGCAAAAGATGATAATAAGATAAATGATAACCGCTTGGCTGCTCTGAAAATTACTACCCACAGGTATAGTTTAAAATGGAAAATTTATAGGCGGATCTGCACCCAGCCCAAGACTAAGTCATTACTAGGATGTAGTCCACAAAGAGACCATCAGTTCCAAGGAAGAAAGTCAAGATGCAATACTTACGTTCTTGTGATGTTTCTGGAGAAGAATGATTAAGAATTATGTTTTCTAATATTTTTCATTCCCCAGTTAAAAGGAGTCATTAAACAAAAGAAAATGGTAACAATTGCATGGGATTCTGTTCATATTTTACCTTTTCTTTAATGTAGTAAATTAATCTTACCAACAGTATGTAGTACAAAGTCAAAGGCAGCCAGACTATAATGATAATATTCTGGACACCAAATTATTTGGCAATTGTTTTTAATGTTTTTAAAGTATAGGAGTAACTATGCTTTTAGCCACCTATTTCAGGATTCCTTAAATGGGAATTCCTGATTCCTCATCAGAAGGTTAAAGCAGCAAAATGCACTGTGCAGAACCATTCCACAGAATCAGGCGGGTTTGGCCTAAGAAAATCGTACATGCTCTTATAATCCATTTTCAGCCCTAATCCCCAGGTTTGCCCTCTCCTTCTACAATAAATCACAATCAGAAAAAGGAAAAACAGAAACATGACCTCAAGGTTCACTTAAATAGAGTAGTACTGATATAATAATATAATGCTACCTCTATTAAGATGTTACCATTACTTTTTATAAACAGGGACAAATCCCTGCAACAATATCATTTCTCTTCCACATCCAAGCTAATTTTGAATGTAAAATGTCTTACCATCCAGAAGACAATCAAAATGAAGGCACTGTAAGTACTCCCTCTCTCTCATAAAGCCATTCAAGGGGGTTGCCCAACCTTCTGCCAAAACCTGCACCCACTGCATATCCACCTGGTAAATGAGAAAGTAAAGCAAAACTTATATTTCATGTATTCATGAACAAAAGCAGTAATGCCCGTTAGGAGTTTAGAAAGCAATAGGAACAGTTTAAAGATGATACAAACGGGCAGTGCCTGTGGCTCAAAGGAGTAGGGCACCAGCCCCATATGCCGGAGGTGGCAGGTTCAAACCCAGCCCCGGCTAAAAACTGCAAAAAAAAAAAAAAGATGATACAAACACAACAAAGAACAGTATTAGGAAAATATGTATTTCTCCTAATAAATTTAAAAACATTAGGCCTACAAGTATTTCTATTAAGGACAGCTTCTAAACTGGTGGTTCTCAAACTTTAACGTATATCAGAAACCCCTGCAAGACTCAGGGAGGCCGAGGCGGGTGGACTGCTTGAGCTCACGAGTTGGAGACCAGCCTGAGCAAAAGCGAGACCCCCATCTCTACTGAAAATAGAAAAACTGAGGCAAGAGAATCACTTGAGCCCAAGAATTGGAGGTTGCTATGAGCTATGATGCCACAGCATACTACCCAGGGCAACAGATTGAGACTCTGTCTCAAAAAAAAAAAGAAAGAAAGAAAGAAAGAAAGAAAAACAAAGAAATGAAACCCCTGGAAGGCTTGGTTAAAATGAAGACTGCTTCACACCCAGAGTTACTGTCAGTTTGCTATGGGACCCAAGAAGTTGTATTTCTAACATGTTCCCAGAAAATGCTAATGTTATGGCCTAGAAATTACCCTTTAATAACCACTGTCCTAAACCAAAAGAAACTTTAAATAAACTTAAAATAGAAGTATTTACCAGTGGCGCCCATAGCTCAGTGGGTAGGGCACTGGCCACTACGCCAAGGCTGGCAGGTTCAAACCCTGCCTGGGCCAGCTAAAACAACAATGACTACAACAACAAAAAAATAGCTAGGCATTGTGGCAGGAACCTGTAGTCCTAGCTACTTGGGAGACTGAGGCAAGAGAATCACTTAAGCCCAAGAGTTTGAGGTTGCTGTGAGCTGTAACGCCACAGCACTCTACTGAGGGTGACATAGTGAGATTTTGTCTCAAAACACACACAAAAAAGTATTTACCAAAAGGTCCCTTATCACAGACAAGAGTATTCTGCATTTTACAAAGAAATCTTGGACTCCAAGATTTCTAGCATCTCACATCAGAACATTAAAGAATTGATAAACTATGTATGTATCATTAATGTAAGCTGGATACATTCAATTTTAACTGGGTCTACCGCAGAAGCTCTCAAAGGAGAAAGGTGAAGCACCTGGCCAAGTGGTGTGCAGGAGAAATGTAGCCCACTAGTTACTCCCAAAGTACATTTGCCAATGTGTTTCACTGCGAAATCGAATCATGGTTAAGGTATTCTCCTGCCTCAGTTCACAGGGGGAAAAAAAAACTGCATTCACAGAGAATCTTTGTATTTTTACTTTCAAGTTTTCTACTTACTGATTTTTCTAAAGCCTTGGATGGTAGGTACCATTTATCTCTATTAGAATTCCATTCTAGATGGTATCTGTTAGGGACTGAACCTCTGTATCCCCCCATCCCAAAATGCTGTGTTGAAGCCCTAACCCATAATGTGACTGTATTTGGTAATGGGGCCCGTGAGGAGGTACAAAGAGGGGCAGTACGCCTTCCAGGTGCTCTGCCACCTGAACCCATCTGAGAGCCACTGTGCAGAACAAAAGCTGACACGGACAGAAAGCTACTGTCTTTCAGGGCAGGTAAGGATTCATGTTCATGTGCATCCAAATTCTTTTTCTGTCTTTTTCTGTCCGGGCGTATTCCTTCCATGCAAAGTCAGTGGGTGACAAGCTGTTCCTCTGCAAGCTGTTTGCTGCTTGAGCTGATCCACTCAGCAACTCTCTCTCTTGGCCACTGCCCAGCACATCCTGGCTTCAGGTCAGACACTAAGTCAACACACACGAAGCCCATCAGGATAACCAGCTCCTATCAGGCATTCCTGTAACTACGTGAGAGCCTTTCTCTAAGCCCAGAAGTTTTATTTTGTCCTCTTTTCCCTTCCCCTTAGTTTCAGATTTGGCGCTTCCCTGGGTGCTTTAGATATTACTATATTGAAAAAGTGCATAGGAAATCTAACTTCTAGTCCAAATTCT